GTAGTTGGCTAATCGATTTATTGACTGCGTTTGTCTAGCAAACGGACCAGTTTCATGTGCGATCATTCTGCCAGTCTGATGAGTCAACTTCAGCTGATTTTGCACAGTTTGAATCATTCAAAATGGAATTCTGACTGATCTAACTGTCCTACCAGTTGAGACAAATCAACAAGGTGTGATTAGAATCTTGCTGGGAACTAATGATTTCCATAAAATCTGAATCTACATAAAGCACAATTCGTGCAAAAATAAGGACGCAAGACTGCTTATAACGGTCGACTTTGAAATAAATCATGTGATAATCAGCACAGATTAAAGATACAACAAACACATCTCATAATGAATACACATGACAGTGATCACTACAGGTGGTCAACCAAACGTAGAATGTAGCTTCAAATGCACACATTGAAGTTCACACGTACTAACACCAAGAGTTAAGAGAATTTAAGTCAACATCTAATTCATTATTTCAATGATGATGATGATGATCATGATGATGATGACCGACGATAAGTGTCTCTTCCTATTAAGGCATTATTATTCCAACGGAATTTCACTCCGATATCACAAAATGGCATCCTCTGATAACATGGAATAAATAAATGAGCGTCTTCCACTGAATAATGAAAATCAGATGAAATAATGAACAATGTAAGTAGTAATTAGAATTATGCAATCAATAAATGAGTTATTGCACAACATATCAGTGTAAATGGTTACACACTGAACCTGAATTCAAGTGAACACAAACAATATAGTTACACAAGTCACGTTGATCTAATGACACATGCATAGTCTACACCATCGACACATCACACTATATTTCAAATCATTTACAACTTCATTTGATCTGCATATTCAAATTAACTTCAAGTGAAGTTAATCAAACTGATCAAATTTGCATTTTAATTCACAAATACAAAACAATCAATATGATTACTGATGATGTAAACAAGTCGTTGATTGATTCCAATTAGTCTCCTCTTAGCTATTTCTATGCTGACACCTACTCAATTATCGAATTTCATCAATCCAATCCAATCGGATGAGAATCAGTAAATCCAGTCAAACAGTAACGTGTATAGAATCGGTCGAATCACGAATATGATCAATCATCACTCAGTTACATGAGAATACCACTTCACTATTCTCATCCACAATTCATTGACAATTTGCAAATGCCAATCACTGCATTCCGACTTCACTCATCTTAACATGATGATGCTTGCAGTCATCCAATGTGTAAAATGAAAAACCAAATTGTTAGCTTCATGATTTATTCTCACCAAAATTAAAACCGTCCATTAATTAACCTTGATGGAATCATCTGATTCGTGTGAAAACACTTCATACAAGAAAGTATTGAGACAAAGTGTAAACAGTTGAATAGAGCAATACGCTCATCATTTCATTTCAATAAACAAAGTCACAATAGAAAACTGCACAAGAAAACAAAAACAGAAAACCAAAAAACGCAAGTTCACATACATCGATCCACCACTCAATATCACATCACATCACTTCTCATCACTATAATTAGTAGTCATAGTAACAAGAATAGTAGTATGCACATTATTATTATTATTACTGTTCCCAATCACCACCACCACAACAACAACAACTATTCAATATAGTCTGTATTCAGTAATTGTGTATATTCAATATTATCATATTGATTGGTGGAATTAGATTTATTCAATGATTCTCTATCATATTTATATGATGGTGTCTTTCTAGTCGACGAGTTCGTCATCTCAGTCCAATCTGATGAAACACCATAACATTTAGCCATTACTATTAATAATAATAATTGTCCAATCATAACAATAAACATATGCCATACAAATATCACAACAGTTAACATCACTTTATCATGATCACTTTCATCCCATGCTTGATTGAATGGAGAATTTAATAAAAATCCACTTTGACATATCCATGATCCATGTATCATCACACTGAAACATTTGATCCATGTCCATAATAAGGATTTGTTCACCCCCACCATCATTCCAACCTCAACTCCCTTCATTGTCGTCATCATCATCATTTCATGTATAATCGAACAACCAACTATGAATCCCCAATAACTAATCAATAAACAACATGTTTCTGTAATATGTGGTTGTTGATAGGATTGAGCACGTAAACAATAGGTTTGTACAAAGAATGGTAATGCATATATCATAGAATCAAATCCTTTCGGTAATACAATTATTGTACACATGAATATATCCAATAAACCAACTAATAACATTGCTGTATAAAATGGAAATTGAGCATATTCATGATGACGACCTAATTTCAATGTGATCAATTCTACACCAATACCAATGATACAACAAATTAGTTTACATAAACCTCCACCTAAACGATGTTTACAACAACACCGTGATCCAATCGATACAGTTGTCGTATATGGTTCATTATGATTATGATTATGTTTTATGGTAGAATAATGTTGTCTTAATGCTTGAATCCACCACCAAATTCCTAAACATAATAGATATATTCCTAAATAGGTATAACTAAGAAATAATCCTTCATTTCCATGATTAACTAGATGACTTGATGACATAGAATTAACATTCTCATTATGCTCATGAATATCATCATGATTAGTGTGTTGCATCATTCAATGGACTAGTTCAATAGAAACAAATCTAATAATATTCTATGTATTATATACACTAAATAGGTTTAATGTTCTGTTTTATCTAATGATTGGTTCAATAAATGCTATAAGCTTTTTAACCAATCACATTCTAGATTCCATTTAATCTCTCATCACTATGGTAACTGAGTGAGTGTGTGAGTGCGTGGGTGACTGAATGAGTGAGTGAGTGAGTTGACAACCAAAGAAGAATGAAATGAACAATCTCATTGATTTATTTAATGAGTAAGTCACATGATGTATTTTTTCTTAAATTGGATTATTAAGGTTGAAAATGTTTACCCTCCCTCCCTTCCTCTCTCTCTCTCTCTCTCTCTCCAGTAGTTCGTACACAATGGTGTATTTACATTTTTAATAAACAATGAACTGAATGTTACTATGCCCTTATACATCCAGTTTCATTAACAGTTTATATCTTTTGAAAATCGATGTATATGGGTTGATCAATTAGTGATTATGTTATATGAACGTTATGAACCTTAATAAATGAGTGACTTGTGTTGATGTTGAGACTAGAATTTATGGATAACGTATGAGTGACGCTAATAATACCTTGAGAATGTCCACCTGTATACTGCGTTTAAATGGCTGTTATAAACCAGTGTGAAGAATTAGGATTAATATTTACAATTGATGTAAATCCTGGAGAACGGATCAGCTGATTTCTGTCAACATGATCTTCCTCAACGGTGATTCATTCAATTCTGATAGTCTTATGTACTTGGATATGGCAGTAAGGTCATGTTTTTTTTTCTCGTTGAACATCTTTAAATATAACATAGTATAAAGTGCTTCAGCTGGTCAACTTTCTTTATCTAAAGAAGTCCATGTGGATTCATTAGCTATTTGATGAAGTCAGATATAATTATGAAATCAGGTGATTCAATAGTCATTGAAAGAAATATATGTAAGAGTAACAGGGATTTTAGACAATTTAGTAATGATTTGTTCAATTAGTATATGCTATTCATCAATGATCAATCTCATCTTAATATGAAACTATATAACGTTGGGTATCAATGATTCAATCATGGATTGAACCCAGAATTTTCAAGTCTCATGGTCAGTGCTTTTGTCAACAGACTACAGAACTGTTAGCACAGGGTTGACACTTACAGTTTAGTTAAACTATTATGTCAGAATGATGATCATTCCAGTAATTGGTGATGACTTTTATGCTTATATATTTACAGATTAACTTGGATATATTACAATACACTTAGAATTAGCAAATCTTCCAATAAAATATCAACTCGCTCCAGAGAACATTTAGAGAAAAGATAAAGAACCTTTATTGAATGAAATCAATCGTACATTTTCCTACTATATTCATGAATCATCACATTGTATTATGTTGCATTTTAACATGTTCAACGAGAAAAAAAAGATGACTTCACTGCCTTATCCAAGTACATAAGACTATCGGAATTGAATGAATCACCATTGAGCAGGATCAATACTCCCTGATTTACAGTAATAACTTATACCTCACATTCATTAGTTGAATCCCTTTTTTTCCTAAGAGACAAAAGACACTAAACTAAACTAATTGAATAACATGTCAGATTATACAATTCAACACATCCTACTTATTAAAACATAATAAGTAACCAATATCACATATGAAATAAGCTATGAAATTAAGGTAAATCACTTATTAATTAACATTCATACTACATAATCATACACTGATCAAGAAGAACTGATCAACCTCGAGGTCTACAGGACAAGCTGTAAAACATATGTGGAGAGACTTGAAGTAATTCATGCTGATTATATCGTTGAGAAGAACAATGAATGCTCCACAATTAAAACATCTAGCTCAGAGGACGAAATTCTATAAAAATCATCCACCTGAAGTACAAATCTTCTCCACCATCTCACTATTCATCTCTGCTTAAATAAATATAAGATATAGACTGATAATGAAACTGGATGTATAAGTGCATAGTAACATTCAGTTTATTGTTTATTAAAATGTAAATACACCATTGTGTACGAACTACTGGAGAGAGAGAGAGGGAGGGAGGGTAAACATTTTCAACCTTAATAATCCAATTTAAGAAAAAAATACATCATGTGACTTACTCATTAAATAAATCAATGAGATTGTTCATTTCATTCTTCTTTGGTTGTCAACTCACACACTCACTCAGTTACCATAGTGATGAGAGATTAAATGGAATCTAGAATGTGATTGGTTAAAAAGCTTATAGCATTTATTGAACCAATCATTAGATAAAACAGAACATTAAACCTATTTAGTGTATATAATACATAGAATATTATTAGATTTGTTTCTATTGAACTAGTCCATTGAATGATGCAACACACTAATCATGATGATATTCATGAGCATAATGAGAATGTTAATTCTATGTCATCAAGTCATCTAGTTAATCATGGAAATGAAGGATTATTTCTTAGTTATATCTATTTAGGAATATATCTATTATGTTTAGGAATTTGGTGGTGGATTCAAGCATTAAGACAACATTATTCTACCATAAAACATAATCATAATCATAATGAACCATATACGACAACTGTATCGATTGGATCACGGTGTTGTTGTAAACATCGTTTAGGTGGAGGTTTATGTAAACTAATTTGTTGTATCATTGGTATTGGTGTAGAATTGATCACATTGAAATTAGGTCGTCATCATGAATATGCTCAATTTCCATTTTATACAGCAATGTTATTAGTTGGTTTATTGGATATATTCATGTGTACAATAATTGTATTACCGAAAGGATTTGATTCTATGATATATGCATTACCATTCTTTGTACAAACCTATTGTTTACGTGCTCAATCCTATCAACAACCACATATTACAGAAACATGTTGTTTATTGATTAGTTATTGGGGATTCATAGTTGGTTGTTCGATTATACATGAAATGATGATGATGACGACAATGAAGGGAGTTGAGGTTGGAATGATGGTGGGGGTGAACAAATCCTTATTATGGACATGGATCAAATGTTTCAGTGTGATGATACATGGATCATGGATATGTCAAAGTGGATTTTTATTAAATTCTCCATTCAATCAAGCATGGGATGAAAGTGATCATGATAAAGTGATGTTAACTGTTGTGATATTTGTATGGCATATGTTTATTGTTATGATTGGACAATTATTATTATTAATAGTAATGGCTAAATGTTATGGTGTTTCATCAGATTGGACTGAGATGACGAACTCGTCGACTAGAAAGACACCATCATATAAATATGATAGAGAATCATTGAATAAATCTAATTCCACCAATCAATATGATAATATTGAATATACACAATTACTGAATACAGACTATATTGAATAGTTGTTGTTGTTGTGGTGGTGGTGATTGGGAACAGTAATAATAATAATAATGTGCATACTACTATTCTTGTTACTATGACTACTAATTATAGTGATGAGAAGTGATGTGATGTGATATTGAGTGGTGGATCGATGTATGTGAACTTGCGTTTTTTGGTTTTCTGTTTTTGTTTTCTTGTGCAGTTTTCTATTGTGACTTTGTTTATTGAAATGAAATGATGAGCGTATTGCTCTATTCAACTGTTTACACTTTGTCTCAATACTTTCTTGTATGAAGTGTTTTCACACGAATCAGATGATTCCATCAAGGTTAATTAATGGACGGTTTTAATTTTGGTGAGAATAAATCATGAAGCTAACAATTTGGTTTTTCATTTTACACATTGGATGACTGCAAGCATCATCATGTTAAGATGAGTGAAGTCGGAATGCAGTGATTGGCATTTGCAAATTGTCAATGAATTGTGGATGAGAATAGTGAAGTGGTATTCTCATGTAACTGAGTGATGATTGATCATATTCGTGATTCGACCGATTCTATACACGTTACTGTTTGACTGGATTTACTGATTCTCATCCGATTGGATTGGATTGATGAAATTCGATAATTGAGTAGGTGTCAGCATAGAAATAGCTAAGAGGAGACTAATTGGAATCAATCAACGACTTGTTTACATCATCAGTAATCATATTGATTGTTTTGTATTTGTGAATTAAAATGCAAATTTGATCAGTTTGATTAACTTCACTTGAAGTTAATTTGAATATGCAGATCAAATGAAGTTGTAAATGATTTGAAATATAGTGTGATGTGTCGATGGTGTAGACTATGCATGTGTCATTAGATCAACGTGACTTGTGTAACTATATTGTTTGTGTTCACTTGAATTCAGGTTCAGTGTGTAACCATTTACACTGATATGTTGTGCAATAACTCATTTATTGATTGCATAATTCTAATTACTACTTACATTGTTCATTATTTCATCTGATTTTCATTATTCAGTGGAAGACGCTCATTTATTTATTCCATGTTATCAGAGGATGCCATTTTGTGATATCGGAGTGAAATTCCGTTGGAATAATAATGCCTTAATAGGAAGAGACACTTATCGTCGGTCATCATCATCATGATCATCATCATCATCATTGAAATAATGAATTAGATGTTGACTTAAATTCTCTTAACTCTTGGTGTTAGTACGTGTGAACTTCAATGTGTGCATTTGAAGCTACATTCTACGTTTGGTTGACCACCTGTAGTGATCACTGTCATGTGTATTCATTATGAGATGTGTTTGTTGTATCTTTAATCTGTGCTGATTATCACATGATTTATTTCAAAGTCGACCGTTATAAGCAGTCTTGCGTCCTTATTTTTGCACGAATTGTGCTTTATGTAGATTCAGATTTTATGGAAATCATTAGTTCCCAGCAAGATTCTAATCACACCTTGTTGATTTGTCTCAACTGGTAGGACAGTTAGATCAGTCAGAATTCCATTTTGAATGATTCAAACTGTGCAAAATCAGCTGAAGTTGACTCATCAGACTGGCAGAATGATCGCACATGAAACTGGTCCGTTTGCTAGACAAACGCAGTCAATAAATCGATTAGCCAACTACAGTGAAGAGATTTTTCATTGTTTAATTTATCGTATAATGGAACAGTGTTTAGGTGAACCTTTCATTATGAATCAATCAAACAACTTCAATGTCGTAAGACCGGTTCAAAGTGTAATTTCTCACTTAAATGATTATCGTTTATGTGCTTGCATATGATGAGTAGCCGCTTACTTTAGGGTATTCTCAATTAATAAAATGTTGCGTATAGTTCTATAGCATGATAGATGGCTTATTGGGTGAAGTGCAAGTGGCAACCCTTTTCTTAATCCATTCATTGTCATTATTCATCATGAAATGAATTATTTGTAATGATATATGTTGTGACACATGTTATTCGAAATCTGATACTGATACGCGATGATTTGAGTGTCAAATGCCGCAAGTGACTACCTGATCAAGAACAGCAGAGTGGAAGAGAGAGTTTATTTGATTACTGAATGAAATACACAAGTACTCATTTCTACATGTAGAATTCTACACGTTAAGAAAGCAATCCATTTCTCAGCTAATGAGATGCATTTATTATTCAGATTACTTCTAATTGCCATCGATTGACCTTGTGCTGTGCAACTTCTGTCACGCCTTCCATATCAATAGTTTATTTGAACTTTTCACTTACTGAGTGTAATAAAAATATTCACTACGTTATTTTAAGTAGTTACTGGTTACTGTATAAAATCTATAATCTTTACTTTAAAGAGGAATGTTTCAGTTAAACGGTGTATTTCACAAACGACCCTTTTTGTTGACTAAATAAAAAGGGTGGTGTGAGTTTACGTCATGTTTATCTGGAAATCAGTGCTTGTGGACACTACTAACATAACAACAATATATAATCTTTATACTCGGCGCCCAATTTCTGTCAAACTATTCGTTTTAATCTTGACGAATATTCGTATAAACAATATATAATTTTCTGTCATTAGATATGGTAGATTTAGAACTCATCAATCTTTATCTCTTACCTCTGTCAGTTTACAATGTAACGTGTTCTACACCCATTGTCATCATCATCCTACTTCTAATATTATTGGAATTTCAGTGTAAAGGTTTATGGCGTAAGTTAATGAGATCAAGGATCAACATAAAGTATGTTAACTTGGAAAAGCAGGATACAGTGGAAACTGTCTTCTTCTAGTATGGAACTACTCAGTAGTGCGAATCGGCGCCTTCACCTTTAATAGTATTTGAAAACATCAGATATTACAATGAGAGATGAAGTTGCTGGATTTCAACATGAATGTTTGGAATCTGTAAATTATAGTTTCTAGTTGAGAGACTTCAAACTGGGTCTGTTTGACTTTTCGTACTGGTCAGCACCTCTTGTTCCACCGATCCGAGAAAGAACACTAGCAGTGCATTAGTCTTCAACGTTCAGTATTAAATAATAGAAAATATAATCCCTACACGAAACCATAAAAACAGAACGAGTACTCAGGCTTTAATGTTCTGACATTGACTTAGTTGTTTGCGATCAATTCTAAACTGATTAATAACAGTTGTTACAGGCTGTCTGATTCTTTATAATCTTACAAGATATTCCATTTGTTATTGGCCATTTGTGGTAATGATACTGAAGCTCAACAATCTCCGCACATCTCTTTGCATTACTAATGTGTTTAACTACTGATCTGTATTTAATTAGGTTTGTGCTTTACACAACTATGACAAATTTTTGAATACTGAAGTCTTTTGAAATTGACACGCTTATTCAAAAATATCTTCCTTGTTCTTTAAATGATATCAATCTGTGATTAGAAAATAATCTTCAGGAATCAATGAACGTAACAATCAATCAATAATAGAAACACATCGATTTCTTAACATTGAATCAATTTATTGATTAATGAAGGTTTTGAGTTTTACAAAATGCATTTTATTCAAAGTGATTTTGGATGATCTGAGTATAAATCGATAAGTTTTAAGGTTTTCAGAGTTCATTTCATTTGTTAATGTTACCGTAAATGATGCAATCGATTACTAAGCAGTTATTAATATTATTATTAATAATCTAGTTTCTATGTTACTGCATTCAGTCAAGTATATTGCTGTGTATAGTTGTTATATGTGAACGAAAAATTTCTTATCGGTTTACCAAATCAATAGATTAGTTGAATTTCTTGCTTACTGAATGTAGTAAATACAATCATCAAATTATTTTACGTAGTTACTGGTCACTGTGTAAAACTTATAATCTTAACTTTTAAGAGGAATGTTTCGGTTAAACCCTGCATTTCACTAAACTCCGCCTGGAGTTCCTCCGAGAGCTACTGCCAGTCCCAAGCCCAGATAAGGGAGGAGGGTTGGGCATGGGGTAAGCGACCCCATCCCGTGGAAAACTAACTCGTTAAAAAAATCGCTAACCTGCATTTCACTAACATCCCTCTTTATTCAACTAATTAAAAGAATAGTGAGAAGGTAGTTGATCCTTATATGGCAATCAATAGTATTGGACACTATTAACAGTAGGTTCAGAACTCATCAGTCTTTATCTCTAAATTCCGTCAATTCACAATATACCGTGTGCAATACCCATAGTCATCAGTTATGTCTATCGTACATGTTTATGTCCCTTTCAATGTAATAACGTAATGATACCGTCAATTAGAGAACAGTGCCTTATCGAATGGACCAATGACGCATAAAACCCATAAGAGTTGTCTAAACTCTTAATCGGTTCTGCTTCCCGCTTAACCCTGTATGTGAAGTCCAGAACACCAGTCTCGGCTATAGAATAAAAATATATTTAGTATTAGTTCAGAAATAGATTCCGACAGTTACCATTCCTTGTTCTCATCGGGATATAACACCTCCCTGTTTTTGAAGATTCAGAGTTGATATACGGACTTTAGATTTTCCGACTTTATCCGCCCCCGGATAATGAAGACCTGCATATCGGAGGGGAAGCACTGAATAAAATGAACAGGTTATATATAATTAGACGATTTGCACTTTACAGGTGGCCTAGATATTCTATCCAGTACACACGAACAAATGTAAATAAGGACAACTGGTGTAGTAACAGCCCCTGCATCAGTAGGCTTAAAAATGAACGAGGGAAAAACCACGACCTTCATATGCAACACAGTGAACACCAAACCAATCACACTTAATGGTGAAGCTTAGGATGATATGCGGTCTTTTGCATATCTGTACAGTATGATTGATGAAAAACGAGGATCTGATACAGAAGTGATAACAAGGATTGACAGAGCAACGACAGCATTCACACAGTTGAAGAACACATGCAACTGAAAACAACTCTCCACCAATATAAAAGTCACAATCTTCAAAACGAATGTCTAAACGGTTAATTATATTATCCGAAGCTGAAACCTTGAGATCTACCAGAACCATCATCAAAACGTTGCAGGCA